TCTATCTATCTATCTATCTATCTATCTATCTATCTATCTATCTATCTAATCTATCCATCCATCCACCCACCCACCCACCCTTTAAAGGTAAGCAATACAAAGTGGGGTCTGTACCTAGGATTCCTCTTCAGCCAAAGTAGCATTATTTTTGTTTGTTCAATGTGAATGTCACTTTTGGAATTGAGGTATTATTTAAGATTTGGATTGCATCTTATGCAAGCTTGAGGAAATGCAATAAATCCTGTGGTACATTCTCTTGAATAATAAATACATTTATGGTTGGTTCAGAAAGCAATTCCAATTTCACTAGTTGTATTATCAAGTATGAAGTCATATTTTTAAAATCAAAAGTATCGGTTCTAAGTTTAACTCCATATTTAATTCAGGTTGAATTTTGGCTATCTGAAATATTCAACATATAGGTAATTGGTTCATTGTTCATATAATGACAGTCCAGATATCAAGGCATTGGAAAGGGTACTTTATGGCCCATAAAGAACTTCTGCCAATTGCAAAATGTCGCACCACCACTCCTGTGGTCACATGATCATGAACTGGGTGCTTGGCAACTGTTCAGTTTAGACCAGTAGTAAGTGCCCTGAGATCCTGCGTTTACCATTTGCAGTCTTATGTGCCAGATTTTAATTCTGTTCCTGCAGCCGTTGAAGGAGTTCCCTTCCATACAGAGGGAACCAAAATCCAAGTGGAGTGGAGGGCAGCACAGTAAAGTAAGGAGTATGGGGTGTCTCAGGCAGGCAGGGGAGGCCCAGGGCAGTTTGATGCAGGCCATGTGTGGCTCTCTGTTCAGGAGCTTAGATTTTGAGCCCGAGACTCTCAAGGTCTACTCTGTTCCTGAGGCACCCCAATCTCCTTATCTGGGACCCTCTCCATTTAATAACCTGCAAGATCGCTTATCAACCACAAGTAGGAGTGCTGAGATCGCAGTAGTTGAGATAGGCAGTCAAATGGGTGTCTTGCTTAATGACCACTTTACCCAATAACTGAGATTCCCATCCCAATTGTGGTTGTTAGTCAAGGATTATGCGTAAACATAACTTAAAGAATGGGTTTTCACAACTATCTGTGTTTAAATGTGTCTTAATGTTTTCGAAGGATCCTATCCACAAATAGCATTTCAATTTTAATTTGCTATTAGACTGGCGAAATGAATATGGCTTAATGAATGATTTAGTTTCATCACATTTTCTTTAGTAAAATATATGATTAATGTGTATCTCATTGCAAACTAGGGCCATTTATATATTTGCTTATACTTACCAGGGTCTGGAGGATTTGGTGGTTGCCAATGTGGATATGCATTACCCCATCCTTGTGGAGCGTATGGTGCTGGAGGTCCACTAAAATGAAAATGTAATGTATAATTAGATCAAGTAGTAAAATAATTTATAATAGCTATTTTTTTTAACTAGTGGTGACTTGAAGTCTGCTGCAAAAGCTAGATTGCAATCTAGGAATGTTCTGATTACCTCCATAAAGAAGAGAACTGGCCTGGAAAGCCTACAAGAATCCCATCATATGTACGTTTCAGAGTTAATGATTTACAGCACACCTAATATGAATTAAACAGTTTATAGTATACATTTTAATTGAGAATAAATATTCAGTTAAATTTTAGAGATTTCACTTAAAGAAATCTCTAAAATGAATGCTTCTAAGAATTTGGTTATAAACACATTTAAAAATTGCATTGAATCCACAGATGAAATCCAGATCCCAATCTATCAACACACAACTCTGCGAACATATCTATAAGTGTACAATACTTACTGAGGTGCAGGACCAGGAGGACCAGGGGTATAAGGAGCTGGATTGTAAGGTCCCATTGGAGCCCCAGGAGGTGGCCCAGGGGGTCCATGTGGCCCAGGAACAACACCATGAGGCCCATGAGGTACAGGAGGCCCCAAAGGATTTACTGGACCCTGTTAAGATAAGTTATAATAGTTAAGTTGTTCTACATCAACAGCAAATATAATATTACACTGTACAGATAGGCTGCAATTTAAGAACACTGGACTTAAGGGCAACCCCTATAAACAGGTGAAACTCAAAAAATTAGAATATTGTGCAAAAGTTCATTTATTTCAGTAATGCAACTTAAAAGGTGAAACTAATAGATGAGATAGACTCATTACATGCAAAGCAAGATAGTTCAAGCCGTGATTTGTCATAATTGAGATGATTATGGCTTACAGCTCATGAAAATCCCAAATCCACAATCTCAGAAAATTAGAATATTACATGCAATTAATAAAACAAGGATTGTACATAGAACAATATCGGACCTCTGAAAAATATAAGCATGCATATGTACTCAGTACTTGGTTTTGCCCTTTTGCAGCAGTTACTGCCTCAATGCAGCGTGCCATGGAAGCTATCAGCCTGTGGCACTGCTGAGGTGTTATGGAAGACCAGGATGCTTCAATAGTGGCCTTCAGCTCTTATGCATTGTTCGGTCTCATGTCTCTCATCTTTCTCTTGGCAATACCCCATAGATTCTCTATGGGGTTCAGGTCAGGCAAGTTTGCTGGCCAATCAAGCACAGTAATCCCAAGGTCATTGAACCAGGTTTTGGTGCTTTGGGCAGTGTGGACAGGTGCCAAGTCCTGCTGGAAAATGAAGTCAGCATCCCCATAAAGCTTGTCTGCGGAAGGAAGCATGAAGTGCTCCAAAATCTCCTGGTAGACGGCTGCGTTGACCCTGGACTTAAGGAAGCACAGTGGACCAACACCAGCAGATGACATGGCTCCCCAAATCAACACAGACTGTGGAAACTTCACACTGGACTTCAAGCATCTTGCAGTGTGTGCCTCTCCATTCTTCCTCCAGACTCTGGGTCCTTGGTTTCCAAATGAGATGCAAAAGTTGCTCTCATCAGAAAAGAGGACTTTGGACCACTGAGCAACAGACCAGTTCTGTTTTTCTTTAGCCCAGGTTGATGTTGTTTGTTGTTCAGGAGCGGCTTGACAAGAGGAATACGACATTTGAAGCCCATGTCCAGGATCCATCGGTGTGTGGCGGCTCTTGATGCACTGACTCCAGCCTCAGTCCGCTCCTTGTGAAAGTCCCCAACACTTTTGAATGGCCTTTTCCTGGCAATCCTCTCCAGGCTGCAGTCATCCCTGCTGCTTGTGCACCTTTTCCTTCCACACTTTTCCCTTCCACATAACTTTCTATTAATGTGCTTTGATACAGCACTTTGGGAACATCCAACTTCTTTTGCAATTACCTTTTGAGGCTTTCCCTCCTTATGGAGATGTCAATGATGATTTTCTGCACAACTGTCAGGTCAGCAGTATTTCCCATGATTGTAATTCCTACCGAACCAGACTGAGAGACCATTTAAAGGCCCAGGAACCCTTTGCAGGTGTTATGGCTTAATTAGCTGATTAGAGTGGGATACTTTGAGCCTAGAATATTGAACCTTTTTACAATATTCTAATTTTCTGAGATTGTGGATTTGGGGTTTTCATGAGGTGTAAGCCATAATCATCTCAATTATGTCACATCATGGCTCGAACTATCTTGCTTTGCATGTAATGAGTCTATCTCATGTATTAGGTTCACCTTTTAAGTTGCATTACTGAAATAAATGAACTTTTGCACAATATTCTAATTTTTGAGTTTCACCTGTTCAAACGGGCTATTACTAAAACTGGCAGAAGGGTTCTTTTCTCAAACTGATAAACCAATAAAGATATACATTTTTAATATACAGCCTGTTTTCAACAGTTCCTAAAAACACTGTGCTTGACAAGGAAAACTTTGTGGAAAGTTGATAGGAAAGGTCACAAATTACAGTCACGTGTATGTGGAATGCTGCAACCATTGTAAGTGCAAACCACATGACAAGCAAATCAGGACAGCCAGAATTTCAAGGACTGGTCTGAAGTATCATTCATTCAGTGCCATCATAACTTTAGTCACTGAACAAATGGTCATAACCTGAAGACAACCTCTAACTGTTATCTCCTTAGCTTGCAACCCCCCTCACATCAGAACAGATGAGGGCAGAGAAGAGATCAAAGGAAAGTTTATTTAAATTACAGATAATTCTTGGTTAATGACCGCTAGTTCAAAGTTATGACTGTGCTGAATGAGTGAACAGTAGTTATAATCAGACCTTCAATCTCCCAGACTCTTGCATATATTCCCATGCAGCAGTTGCCACCTCAAATTCTGCTGCTCTTGTATCACGCAATCCCAACCACCCATGCACCCCCTTGCTCCCTTTCCACCTAGCAGCAGCCACTTACTTACTGCGTGTTTGCAAGCTGCCTGGGACTTGCATCACACTTTGATTGTCTCATCTATTGATGGAAATTCTTAATCCCAATTGCCATTGTTATTTGAGGACTATCTATACAGACATTTCACAAAATGCACTTTCCATAATTATTAATTTTCTGTATTTTATATTAATTATACTTTTCAATGAATATGTTAAATTCTCATCATTCAGTAGTCCGTGCAAAACAAACAATCCTCCATTTAAATCTCATTAGTCTTTAAGAATAGGCAACAAATTTGACAATTGTCATTTAAATGGGACTGTTCAAAGCTACTAATAAGCAATATCGTAAGGATTCTGAACAAAGAGAAAATTTAAAAAGCTAATCCTTTTCTGTACTTAACCAGCTGTTTGTACAACAAAAACATTAACAAAGAGCTGCTTCCAGAACTCACTCCAATCTTTTCTTCTATAAGCTGCCGAGCATAATCAATCTGTTGTGGTGTCCCTCGAATAGTAAATAATTTCATGTTGGGATCTGCATTTGGTGGAGGATTTCTCTGAAGTTCTATTCTTGCACCAGACTGCTGACTAATGCTCTTGATAGTTTCACCACCTGAATTTACAAAGAAATGGTATTATACTGTAATCTATATAAGTTAATACCTTTAATTTGAAAGAACAATAAGAATCATCTTTGCTTGTTGCTGAAGTGCAAACAGAACTATCTTGACGACATTACTACTGATATAGCATGTATAGTTTTAAACATTTTCTGCATGACTTTTAGCCCATTTTTTGGTTGTAGTTGTAATTGTAGTTAATTTTATTTCTTGGGAGATTAGGAACCATGTAATTTCGTGTCGTCATCTATACAGTAGTCTTCAACTGCACAAGCTGTTCCACAGTTCCAATTCATAGCTGAGGTTCTGGAAATCCTTGAATAGCTTTAAGAAATCAGAGAAGCCCAGAGATACATTTGCAACATATGTATCTGAAAACAGAACAGTATGTAACCCAAAAGTTCCACTTTCATCTTCTGTATGAGGCATTCAATAAACTAGTAAATGAGTTTACAAAGTAGCAGGAATGAAGAGAAAAATACATAGAATATATTTTCAAATATTGCTTCAACTGAAATAATCACATAAGGTTTTTATTAGTGAATGAATTAACCAAGGATTTCTGAGCTGATTCACACATTTTGTTGACATCTGGACAGTCAATGTGATTCATGTCTTACCTAAAGAACTAGGTTAAATGGAACACTTTTATAAAAAATTGAAAAGAATTAGAATGTTTAAGTGTAATTCAGGAAACAATGCACAGATTTCAGGAATAGCAATGGATAGTGAGTAAGCAGTTTAAACTGCTTTCTAAGAAACATTTAGGGAAATAAATTAACTGCAATTGATATTACACCTAATTAGAAATCACTGAAGAAAAGCCAAAGAACAAAGTTAGCTGTGAGGTCTAACTTCAATTCCTTACTAGATATGTAAGACTTTATGTATGGGCCAATATTTTTCCTAGGATGTAGGTATCATAAATCCTAATGTTTTGATTTGTAGAATAGAAAGAGGCTTATTTATAATGAGGATATATATTTATAATGAGGAGTCCATTTTCAGAAGTAGTAACTTTCAGTGTTAGGTGGCTAAAGACAGTAACACTATAACTGGGTACAGTTCATTTGCTGTATCTTAGTTATTTAGTTGGACAAAAGTTCTGCAGCCAGATTTTATTATCAGGGAGACACTTCAACAAGGACCAGGAAGTCAGCTACTTAATGATATATGCCATCTCCTGCCTTCAAACAAGAAAATAAGTTTATTTATTGTTCTCTCATGAAAAGCAAGTCAAGCTTTTTACCTTTCCCAATGATTAATCCAGTTTTTCCAGTGGGAACAATAAAATTAAATTCTTGCAGTCCACCAGGTGGTCCCATATTCCAATTCCCCTGACCTCTTCCTCTACCACGACCACCAGGCCCTGGACCTCCAGGATTGCCAGCCTAAATTGTGAAAAGAATTGTAATTAGCAATACTGAAAAAATATTGTTTTTTTGCAGAGACCATTATTTCTATTTTGCATTTATAGCAAATACAATTGCCTTAAAAGACAGGGACAGATAAGACTTTTGTAAAAGTAACAGTATGTCATTTTTCTTCACAGAACAACCAACGAAAACAACCAAACTATTTCATTTCAACCAAGAAACTTTTCCAAACAAAACAATGCAATCTTGATTTTTCTTCTTCCTAGTAGGCTCGCTTACAATCTGGATCTGGACTAACTCTATAGTAACATAGGTACAAGCCCCCACTTGACTATGAACATCACTTGGTAATTCTGGAATATTCATCAACTCTTGGCTCAACCTATTGTGGGAAGGCTCATGCTATGAAAATCAAATACAATTTACCAGTCTGAGTTCCCAGAGAAAATGTGGGATATAAATGAAATCATTCTAAGCCATTATCGCTTGTAAGATTTCTATCTCACTCCTAAGAGCAAGGGACATGGGGAAATTAAGTGAAAACACCAATTAATTGGCAGTACCACATTATTTCAGTCATACAATTTGAGGTATATGCAAAAACATTTGGGAAAGCCACAAATAACTGTGGTACCTGCAGGTATAGCACAATGACTCTTAATGTAAGGATCATGGCACAGCACATAATTTTAGCATCATTTTCAACTGAAAATTATGTCTATCAATTTCCAAATAGCTTTATGTCTATGGAGATTCTCAGTCCTCCAGGTCATGGTTATCCCAAAAGTGCTTTTTTTCAAGAGGCAACTGGACTTTCGAAGACCCTTTGCTTCTCATCAAAAAACTGATGAAGCTTCTTGAATGAGAAGCTAAATGTCTTCAAGGAAAAACAAAGTCAGTCTGTTGCCTCTTGAAAAAGCACCTTTGGAATATCCAAGCATCTTTCTTCTTTAAGAAATTGGCTTTGTTTCAAAAATCTTACAGTTTATAATCAATGCTATGCTTTTAAAGCAAGGGTGTCAAACTCAAGGCCCGAGGACTGGATCCGGTCCGTGGGGCTGCCCTGGAAACAACAAAGGACTGCCCCATGGTGCTTCTTTCAGCAAAAATGGAGCTTGGGGAGGCGCATGTGCCCACCCCCCATATCCCATTTTCGCTGGCAGAGGGCTGCAGGAGCTCCATTTTCACTGGCAGAGAGCTATCAAAGCAAATTAAAAACAAGAGAAAAGGAGAAATTTTTCCCCTTTTGCATTTGAGCATGCAAGAAAGGACAGGAAAGGAGAAAGGGAAAGAGGAAAGAAAGAAAAAGGAAGGAAAAATAAGTAAAGAGGAGAAGGAAGAAGAAAAGAAAATGAAAAGGAAGGAAGGAAGATTATGAGAGTGAGGGAAGGTCTCAGGGAAGTCCTGCCTTAGAACTTGGACACAGGTGCCTCTGACATGAGTCCCGTGTTACTTCCACCATGGCCACACCCACACCCACCCCTGGCCACGGCCACTCCCCCTGGCCACGCCCCACTCTCTGATCCTCCGAAGTCGAACACAACTCTGATGCGGCCCTCAATGAAATTGAGTTTGACAGCCCTGTTTCAATGCATTACTGCAGAATAAAACTCACTAGTAGAGGCACAGAACCAGTGAAATACAAATTTATAAGCTGCAGGCATCTCAATTAGTTTTAACAGAAAAATGTTCATGCATATGTTTTCCTCATAAAGGTTAAGAGTATCAGTATTTTATAAGAATAATTAAAAACTTGGCTGTTAACTGACTATTAACCAACCTGAACGCTTCGAAGAAGATCTGTAATAATTTCAGCTGCATGCTGACATCTGTCTGGTGGTCCTGTGATCTGTGCTATTCTATCAGGTGTTGTTCCATCATCTACAAGAGCAATAAGTATTTTTATAAGTATTTAAGTATTATAGATAAAAACATGCAATTGGTGTATTTTCCGATGAAGGAACTCTACCTGGTTTAAATTGAATCCTTACACCAGCATCATTCTGTATCTTTTTTATCATTTCGCCATTTCTTCCAATTACAATACCAACTGCAAAACGTGGTATTGGTACCTTAAGAAACACAATACATTTTAACAAATATTAAATAAGAACTTTAAAGCAAATCAATACAATATGTAACTGATGAAAAACACCATTATACTCAACAGTAATCAATTGAGCAGGAATACTCAAAGGAGAAATTAGATAGTCTGCAGTATTTTTAAGCATTTTAAAGCCAATTTTATGATCAGTATTTAACAGGGAGTAAAGCATCATAATCAAGATGATTTAAATTAGTGAAAGGAATAGGAAATGTATGTTTGTCCATAGATATGGATGAACACAGGCCTAAAGTACAAATTTGCCTAAAAAATTCATCATACTCACATCTAAGCCTTCATTGCCTCCTATTCTTGATCCGTATTCATTTCGTACCTCTCTGAAGCCACCTTGATCACGAATTAGATCTAAAACCATTTCCTTTGCTTGCTGAAAGAAAAATTAGTACACATAAGATACAATGATTTTACAATCATTCCTCTTGGAGAAATACAATTTAACATTTAAAATCTGTTCTTACTTGGACTTTGTAAGGATCTCCTGTGATCCTAAGAGGCTTATCTGCTCCAGTGTTCTGTGGTCCATCTTGAATCATCACCATTTTAACACCTGCACGCTCCTATTTAATAAAATTAATGCATTCAAATCATAAAAATATTAAATGTTCACACATATTTTTAGAAAATAAAATCTGTCAACTTACTTGAAGCTGCTTTATAGTTTCTCCACCCTTTCCAATAACTAATCCTGCTTTGCTAGCTGGAATCATGATTTCCTGGACAGCATTTCCTGGGCCATCACCATGATGGAATCCTGGTGTAGGCCTTCCCTTTTCAACTATCTGGTCGAGCAATCTCTTTGCAGATCTTGCAAAAAAAAAAAAATGAATAAAAAGCATTTGCAATTAAAAATGTATGAAAAATAACATAATCAGCAATTGACAGAATATTTAGGGTGGTTGCTAACTAAAAACCATGAAATCATCTATTTTATAAACTTTTGAAATGTGTTATTTGCAGCAACATTAAATGGGAAAAGTAGAAAAAATGAGAATGCATATGATTTCTTCATACTACTAATAGCCACACTGAACTAATAGTACATGTCACCTGCTGTGTGCAACTTGAAAAAACTTGAATTCTAGCCAAAACTTTGATACTTGGCTGATCATGAATGTACAAGTATTGCTAAAAGACTATTCAACAAATCATTGTGAATGCATGCTTCAAAAGTAAACATGTTGTGTACCTATTGCACTTTTTCTTAAAATAATAGCATTATAAAGTGGGTCATCATGTGATTGTGCCTTATTTCGTAATAATTTTTGCACTGGTTATTAAGCAAATTCACTATTTGCTACGCAATGTTTTTTTCAGGAATTGGAAGTATGTACTTGTTTCTGGGGGAAAAAACATTGTAAATTGCTGTCATCTGATTATGGGGTGGTGCATATGTGGCCTGGTTGCTGGTGCCCAAAATATGGCCACATTAGAACGGCAAACTCTTAAATTTCAAATCTGGGTTATCTTTCTTTCATGATCTGTTATAATTTCAAATGGTTGTTAAGAAACTGGTTTTAAGTTGAGGACTACCTGTAAATTAGCCTCAGTAGAGCTACTGAATCTTCCAAACAACCTGGAAGAGTATTTTCCAGTGACCAGTAATCACTTAATTGAAAATCAGAAACTTTTGCACTGCAGATTGTTCATATTTCAGAGTCAGAGCTAGATATATTTCATGTGCAATAGCATACAGCCTGGGACACTTTTATTAGGCAAAGTTAGAATAGTGCACGTATTTGGAAAGATAATTCTTAACAAAAACTATTTCAACATGATCTGAAAGCATTTGTGAAGAAACTTACTGTACTGATTCAGGTGTTCCAGTCAACATGCAAGATCTTTCAGGAAGCCCACCACTATCTACAAATGTAAAGAGCATAGAATGAACATTAGCAAGCAGATATTAGTAATTTGCTTTTAAGATTTTTAGCAACAGATCACTCAACTAATTCATAATGGTTTCAATTTTGCTGATATAAACTGACAATTTAAGATAATAAAATTAATTTGTCTGCATGCAACAATAAATTATGTTCCAACTGTTAACCTAGTAAAATAGAGAAAATAAAATAATTACCAGGTGCAATCTGTATTTTACATCCAGATTCTTGCTGTATGCGAGATATCTGTTCTCCCCCTCTGCCAATTACTTGAGAAATGGACAAACAAATCAGTTAATGAATTAATACCATGTACTCCAACAGATTTAAATATACTATAGTAAATATTTATACTCACTGAATCCAACCATTCCATCTGGAACTTTGTATTCTTCTGTCATTACAGACCTGGAGAAAGAAACACATTACAAGCTAGTATTTGTACCTAGTTAGAACTAAAGTATTTTCTCCAAATAAAGAGGTAAATCATAAATATATATCTCTCTCTATATATATATGTATGCTAATTTTACTTCTACTCAGTTAAGGTCCTTTGGTTTCCGTATTTGTTTAAATCACTATGCCTAAAAAATAACATAGCCCATTAATAATTTAACATAGGCAGTCAAACATTAGCCAATTAGTTAAAATGTCAACATTCTAATAATGCTGAAGCCATTTATAATGTATGAATCTGGAAACGTATTGCAATTTATATACATTTCAAAGATGCATCATAATATTATTTCATTTTTTTAGTAAAGTTAAAAGTCACACACAAAGCAAAATATGTACCAAGAACATAAATGGGAAATAAAATGCTAGGAAATTTCACCAAAACTATTTCATAACATTTTGAACCTTAAGTTTTTTTTTTCAAATGAACACACTTAATTCTAAGTTATATATGGCAATGTTTTATACTAATAATTCAAAGAAAGTACAATTACAAAATTTCAGGAGACAGCGGAATCTAATGCAGCCCATCCTACTTTTTCATTTACTTTTTTGATATATACAACATACATATTTAACAAATGTTGCAACAAAGAGAAAATACTTTGCCTGAATCATGCTGAATAGGCATACTTCAAAAAAGTGTGAGAAACAACCCAAGTTATGCAATATGAACTCAAACTAATGGAGAAAAGTGGATCTATCTTGTTGAGTGTAATGGAAATGTGTGTTAAAAGAAATGCAATTAATTTTCACTGAAGTAGCATAATAAAAACAAGCATTTTCACTACATACTGTTTAACATGTGACTTAAAGACCTAATCTTTTATCCCTTACTCAACTAATTACCTCATCTGCTTCAATGTCACCTATGGTGAACATTACCTGGCAAACAGTAAATAAAAATTCCCCAATCAGTTGAAGCTATAATTATTTCAATTACTGATTGAAATAACTGTATGAACATTACCTTCAACCAACAGTTTTTTGGTCTGCTCACAAGGGACAATTTCCAAAGCACATTTCTGATACTGATAATATAACAATTTCTAAATTTCTAAAACAAACCAATAAAAGTTATTACCTTGTATAAAGATCAAATTAAAGATAAATAAAACCTTACCTCTGTTGCTGATGCATGGGTGGTAACTGATTTCCAAAAGCTAAAATGAAATATTACATACTTTGACAATTTCACCAAATAATCTACAATGGCATATAACCCACAACTGCAAAAACATGCAGGACTAGCTTCACTTCAATATATTTGCATTTGACTAACATTACATATTTTGCCAAAATATCATTAACTCAGAAATATATCACTAATGAGGGAGCTCAAAATTGGTACTAATTAAAAAAAAAGCACAGAGGAAGTATTTGACTTGGTCAATTCCACCTGATATGCTTAGTTTAGTTATTTCCTTCTCTTTAGTTTATTTCTAGATCAACTGACAAGCTATGATTTTCAAGTCCTGGCAAGCAAAAATAATTTACTATTTTGCAAGTAAAGGCAAATGGAAGCTTATGTAAATTGGAAATAAAAATGTGAAAGGGAAGAAAAAAAAACACATAACACCAAGGCAAAGTCTCCTTTAAATCAAGTTTGATATCCAGCACCTAGAAGTTGTTTTTAACTAGTTTCTAGTGTTTATAGTCTGCAATTTGATAGCATCTATAGGGCTTCCATTCAATTTATTAAAAGGCCCCGATCCTGCTTAGTTCTAAGGCCAAACAAGATTTGTTAGATTCTGGGAAAGGGCTAGGGCTTTTTCACTTAAAATTTCCCCGCCCATGTTCTTTCTTTTTACTCCACATGTTTTCCTGCATCACACAATACTTTAATGAGCTTCCACTCCCCTAAACACTCAGTGTATACCTGAATATGAAGCAGGAAGAACCACATAAACCAAAGCCCTACTTGTCATACATATGGTTTTCAAGCAAAAATAGCCGCTGCATTTAGGGCTTTTATTCATATAATGTACAAATTACAATGCAAATTCATAACATAAGAAGTGATAGTTGTGTTCAATACTACCATGCAATCATTTGAACTGTAAACTATCAACAATTAATAAAAAGGAAAAAAATTCTGTTTTTTCAAGAAAATATTGTTGGTTAGCGTTCAAAGTTAATTGAAACTTTGAATTTCGTTTCATTTTTAACTTTTTATATTTTTAAATGAAACCAAGTTTTATAGGGAAAAAGCTAAACGTATGAAGGAATAACAATAAAGACATTATTCAACTAAACCTAATAACTCTGTACTTCAATATGGTTCAATGTAATTGTAACTGCTGAACAGATTTAACAAAAACAGCCAGTCTTAAATTTTATTCCAGCTGCAATACTAAATCTAACTACCTAAATTACATTAGGTTAGGTTGTAAGTCAGTAGACCTTACTTCTGGATATGAGGAATTAAAAAAAGATTTGGGACAGTATGATTTAACACGGTAAAAGGAACTGTTGGCAGTATCATGCACATTTCTACAGAGGTAGCACAGTATACTACCAAAATATGGCTTGGAATCAGTACATCAATAATAAAAAGGAAATAAACACTACTAAGAACTTACAGGAGAGAAACAGCTTATATTGCTAAACTTTATAATCTTACTATGTAAAAAAAACAAAAACAAAATAATGTCTATTATTTTTAATAGTCTACCTACAGGGTTCCATTATTTCTATTTAACTAGTATAAAAATTCAAGGAAATGTTTCATTACCTTTTGTGACTATTTAAAACATTTTTAGCTGTAGAATACCTTGTATTCTATTCGAAAAGGAAGTTTTTTATACCAGAACCTTGAAAGGTCAACTCTAATCTAAGAAACCAACTATAAATAAAAGTCATATTCTATATATGTTTGTTAGGTTTTGGCTTAGAGTGGTATGGAAACTCTATAACCAGTATTACAAATCTTGCTTTACGGCTTTAAACCGATGTGACTTTAGCCAATGTCTTTTAATTAAAACCTTGTTAAAATATAGTTATTCTGGATTCCTTGGTACATAGGAATCAAGATTGACTCAAAGATCACTGTACCCCCCACAACTGAAAATACTTATGGTTTAAAAACAGCCACTCAGAAAGTTGCATCTGTAGTCCCCCCTAAACTCCATAATAAGACCATGCAACCTTAGAGAATGGCAAAAGTGAGTGACCCATGCTAAATTTAAAACATTTTGTTTTCTTTCAATCCAAACAACTGCACATACTTACTCCTGCCAGAATATAACTTTCAAAGTGGAACTGTGTTAAAAAAATATCTAAACTACTGAATTGTGCAATATCCTTTTAACTCTATTTTCTCCTGTAGGTGAAATCTTGTGTATCATTATTAGAATATAGATCCCCAAGTAGATTAGTAAAGACTCCTGACTAAAAAGATGTCAGTTGAAAGTTTAACATTAACCCATTATTTGGAAAAGTGATAAACAACTTTTTATTATTCCGTTTCACTAACACAAAACCAAATTCAATTTTGGTTATTTTTAAAATCAAACGGCATTGATTACTTGTTATTCATTAAGGTTATTTTCCTATTTATGTCTTACTACTTAGTAGCAAAAATCAGCAATCTGTCTACAGTGCAGGACAACCACTTTATGTAGCTGATAAACTATAGCTCATGAAAGTTTATATCTTTTAATAAAAACTTAGTTGGAAAAAGTGATATAGGTAATCCTTGACTTATAACCATTCATTTAATGCCAATTCAAAGTTACAACAGCACTGAAAAAAGTGACATATCCAGTTCTCACTTTTGACCATTGCACCATATCCAGTCACATGACCAAACTTTGGGTGCTTGGCAACCGGCTGGTATTTACAATGGTTGCAGTGTCCCAAGGTCCTGGAATTGTCATTTGCAATCTTCCTAGGGAGCTTCTTGATAAGCAAAGTAAATGGAAGAAGCCAGATTTGCTTAACAACCGTATTATTCACTTAACTGTAGTGATTCACTTCACCGTTGCAAAAAAGATCATAAAATGGGACATGACTTACTTAACAACTGCCTTGCTGAGCAACAGAAATTTTGGGCCCAGTTGTGGTAGTAAATTGATGATTACCTGTAACAGATTCCTGATTTTTTACCATCAGAAACTAACAGGATCTCTGCTCATATTCCTGCTAGTACCACCTAGCAGAATCCTGTACATAGCAAGAAAATTGGAAATGCTTGCTCTTACAGATGGAGAGAATCAGAATAGATCGATATACACAACTTAAAACAGCAGCATTGTGTATAGTATATATTAAATAGTACGATAATGTTACAGCAAATCATAAATACTTACAATCATTGTTTGGGGGAGCAACTTTCTTAGGTTCTGGTTGATCTGCAAAATTAAGAATTTTTTAAATGTTTTGGGTCATAAATATAGATAACTTAAATAAATGGCTGTTCCAGAAGTTCAGAACGCAACTTGTCCAGTGCATTTTAGCATGTTTTTGAATTTTCAGGGAATAGATCATCTAAACAAAGAAAAATCTTACGTTTAACATTTGGTTAGTGAAATTGGGGAAAAATGCAAAGTACTTTCATTTATCACGTATCATGTTCAATAAAAACACACAGGTTTAAAAACGGTATCATGGATATCCAGGCACTAAAATGTAACAAACATTTAACTATATTATTAGTAATTTGACACTAAAGCTAATGATGCTTCTGTAACAAAAACTGAAACAACCACCATTGTGAGAAATAATCATTCTACAATTAAGTCTGACAACAACCACAATATTGAACAGAAAATCAAAGTTTAAAATTTAACCAACACATAGCAATACAATCTCAAACTGGGGACTGTCATTCAAGCTTCCTTTTCAAATACTGAAAATTTCACAGCATAAAACTTCAAACAGGAGATTCAAAACCACTACCATAGCTACTATCCAAATTCGTTTAGTATGAGTGAAAGTCGTAGATAACCAAAATCTGATAAAAATTACTTTAAATGTTTCCTTCCCACCCCATATTAAGGAATACACGAACCACCATGATTAAGTGCAGTAAAAGTCAGACACATATTCCAAGAAATGTGTGTGTCATCCATTGCAAAAGATTCACTAGTTCATTTCACGTTTACATACTAAACACAGGTAATAAATAAAAATTCCTGCCTTTAAAAGGAGAGGGCATTCCCTCCCAGTGTGTTGTACTGCTCGGACTTGTCCAAGAGCCATCTACACATAAAATAAAAAGAATACATTACATACATCATTTGAAGCATCATTAGCTCAATCTTGAATATTAAAAGCCTCACCATTAATAAAAGGCACTTCATTAAAGTACACAAGTACTCCTTGTCAAGAGCCTTGAAAATGTTCTGCAAACAAAATTATATTCCTTCAAAGCCTACATCTCTTCCAAGATCAGAAATCTGTCATGAATTTAAAAAATACTACACACTTTTAAAAGATAAACACAGTAAACTTGTTTAAGCCCATGAGCCTAAAAATTAAACTTGCTATATATTTCGCTAACACATTGTAGAAGGAAAAAAAACGTCACAGCATCATCTTATCTGGGTTCAAACAATTTAGAAGACATTTTCTCCAAAATCTAATTGTACATTTGTAATTTTGGTGAAACTAAGTTCCATTTTAAAATGTTGCACCTGCACAATGCAAAATCTGAAAAAGTAATTCAAGAGTGTTTTGAATTCACTATAGAATTTGTTAATGTTTTAAAACAATGAGTTTTCAAAGAATATTTACCTACCTTCCCAGATTCTTAAAATGTAAACATCATTGCTGTCTACTTTTACGAGTACCCTAGCTAGCTTTAGTCAAATCTAAAGATCATGTATATGCTTAAAATGTACTATTTCGTCTTTTAAGCAGAAACTGCACAAGCTCTCACACACACTCTTCAATCAGTTTACAATTTTGAGAAAGTATATATTAGCATCTTGCGGCATACCTCCATCTTCAAGAGGTCTTTTTTGTCCCCCATAACTGTAATCATTTGAATTCACAGATGTCCCTGATTCATTTCCAATTTTTGCTGCAATCTGGAAAAAAGATACATATTTACTTTTACCAACAGAATTACATCGTACTACTGAATTGTTAATAAAGCATACCTCGCATCTATACAAGAAGTATTTTTATTAAAGAAATCATTACTGATAATTGTTTATACATGCTCCATCTATCATGTATTATATAACATTAATATTCTATACTTATTGCAGGCATTAGTGTATATTATTTATCAAACTGCTTAACACACTAATTACTATTAGTTAACTGCTTGTCTGTTTTGTCTAAACTATTGAAGGAAAAGGAACTGGGAAAGAACCTATACCTTGGTATATAAATCCTCGTAATCCTTTTACTTCTTTTAGAGCCTACCAACTGAAAGAACTTTGGCTGAACATCTCAGTAACTATCAATCTGTGTAGATCCTCCATAAGTGTCAAAGGGGAGATATGAATTGAATAAATATCACTAGACTACCAAGAATACAGAGCTATACTGTTTGCAGTTAACAGACTAGGAATGTGTACTACATATTTACAATATTCTAAATTTTAGAATAAGTCCCTTCTTTTTAAAACATGACCACCGAATGTGTTTCTATCACCACTCCAATCTTATTTATGCTTCCTAAGTCAATCCCATTTGTTTCAGAGTACTTCAGCAGAACTTACTGCTATTTAAAATAATCTTGATGAAGTATCAAAGTACAATTGTCTGTTGATACAAGGTTTCTCCCTTCAGTCTATCTCCAATTCTCGCAGAATGCCTAGACAAATGCCTGCAGTTTTCTTGGCAAGGATGTTCAGAAGTGGTTTGCCATTGCCTTCCTCCTAGGGCTAAGAGAAAGAGACTGACCCAAGGTCATGCAAATGGCTTTGTCTGCAGGTTTCTAACCTGATGCCTACCCCAAGGTAAAATGTACCCTGTTTCTCCAACAATACGGCCTCCCCCAATAGGAAGTCCCAGCATGTTTTATAGGCATGAAATGAAATTAAGCCCCTCCCCCCAAATTAAGGCCTATATTAAAACATGCAAAATGGGGGGAATGGTGGTGGGGGCTTGCCATTAGGAAGTACTTTTGTTGCACACTCAGATATGGTGCTGCCTGCGTTGGCCCCAATATGAAGTGCCCCACCAACGCCAAGGTCAACATCCAAGCCGTCGCCGCCTGCCTGAAGATGCAAGGGGGGGGGAATTAAGTCACCCCCGAAAAGACGGCCTAGCCATTTTTTCGGGGCTCAAAAAAAAAAATAAGACCCTGCCTTATTATATGAGAAACACGGTAATAATTTGCTCATCAATGTGGAAGTGTCAGACAACTTCAAAAATAACTGTTACCACTACATCTCTTTGATTGCACTATTTTCTACTCTTTTATCCCCAACTTTATAGGCATATATATTTTGTTCTCAAATAGTATGAAATTCACTCTTCAGTGGCTCAGCTTTGAGTTTCATTTTCCCCTTCTGTTCCATGTGAAACAATTATTTCTGCCTTTAAGTACATGACATTTTGAGTTGAAATCCAAATTGACTCAATTTCAAATTCAATCCAACTCCAATTCAAATAAGTAATGGATGGAAACTATTTATCAATGGAACAAATTGCCTCCAAAAATTGGGGGTGTTCCAACACTGGAGTCTTTAAGATGAGATTGAACAATCATTTGACTGAAATGATACAGGGTTTCCAGCTTGATCAGGGGATTGAACTTGGACTAGAAGACTTCCAAAGTATTTTCCAACTCTCTTATTCTGCTATTCAAACAAAAGTAGTAGGAGTAAAATAAGGAACTGATTAAATTGAAGGTACTTGCCATGTTTAAGTCTATCCAATAGATCAAACTTGATTTGGCACTGGGACTGCATATAACACTGGGAACCCTAACCCCTATCCGTTTTAAGGTTTTTTGTCCTATTATTTAACTCCCAACAGTATTGCTATTATAGTTTTAAACTGTCATCTATTCCCTTCCCTTCTTCCACTAAGCCTAACCATGTATTTTATCTCTTTTTAAAGGAACTGTGATTTTATTCCCATTTAAGATTAAGATGCACTAACTGAAAGTTATTCTGTATTTGGAAAACTGTACTGCATGTGGTTTCCACTGCATAAATATATGCTTTTCTGTTTCTATAATGGATCACATTTTAAAAATGTGAAATTGCTTTTTCTTAAAACATTAACTATAACCTAAAGGGAAGCAGGAAAGAAAGCCCCCACATTACATTATTTTAAAATCATTTATCTCTTCAGTAATATAACAGCTCACAGAAGCCAAGAGCCCATCTTCACTAAAATGCTTCAGCAAGACTGCTTAGCCCATTTTTTGTTATGTGAATTTTCTCTGAATAAAAACGCAAAGAATTCTAATCAACCTTTACCTTTGCTTTCCATAACGAAGAACAGCACCAAATACCTTCAACATCAAGAGGCTAAACACCTATTTTAGTCATAGAAAGCCCAAACTGAAGATTACCTGGAAACCCTAACTAGCATCATCTCTACAACGTTTCATTATTGGTTAATTGGGAAAATGGGTGGGCCAGATGAAAGCTGGGTGGGGGTGGGGGTGTGTGTGCCTCCTTGGCCTTCCTACAGAAACAAAAGAAACTATTACAGGTAGTGTGCAGCTTAAGTTTGTGCACGGAAAAGTTGAAGTTTAACAGAACCGGAGGGCGCCAGATTACGAGGAATCCTCTCTAACGCCGACAGTTCAGTTACCGATATTTTCCCGCGAGCCACATGCAAGCGAATATAATGGAAAATATTGCACAACACGTCAGCATTAGGCGGGGAGGGGGGACACACACACAACGTAAGCCCCTCTGCAGTGGAAGAGGATGAATGGACAGGGGCGTTTCAGACAATCGGAAAGACCCGACTGCCTTTTAATTTTTGTTTCTTAAAGAAACGAAGGCACCGCCATTTCCAGAAGGCGAAGTAGAAAGATGTTAGGGAAATAACTTTGCGTCAAACGCGAGTTTAAAAAGTCAACTCATTCCATTTCTTTTGAATCTCAACCTAATCCTTTTTCTCCCCTCCTTCTCCGCCTTCCACCGCTTAGTGGCAACATAATGGATACCAGGCGATTTGGCCTTCCGCGCTTTTGTAGGACCAAAAAACCTGCGCCGAGTTCTGAAAAAGCTTCCCGAAATAAAAGCCACCCCAGCCCTTCGAAGTGGGTGGTCGCTCCTAGCGCCTCCGCAATGTGAGGAGGTTTGTTTCCCTTTGTGAAAGAAGCCGAGAGGTGAATGAGAGAAGCCAGCGGCCTACTTGGAAGTCTGAGGAGCCAGTCAGGGGGGAAAAAATCCCTTCAGGGCTCGTAATACACACCTGCCTAGCCCGTTGCAGCGCGTCTTTAAAAGCATCATTGACTGCCCCGCCACCTCCTCCGCCTCCGCCGGGTGCTCCCGAAGAAGGAGGAGGCACCGTAGAATAATCCGACATGTCTCCTTCCACTACTTCCTACCGTCCTCCCAGCCTGCCAAGAAAGAAAGAAAATGGCGGCGGGCGGGACTCTTTCACATTCTTGCGTCGCATCGTGTTTCGCGAGAGGAGGAGGGGAGGCCACTAATACCCTCGCGAGACATCTAGGCAAAAGACGCGAGACTTTGAGCAGAGCAAACCGAGATGATGAAGGCGGGAAGAAAGGTTTCCCTTCGCCCCTCCCCCACCCTCAAGCTAACTCTCGCGAGATAAGAGTCTTAGTATGCAGGAGGTAGAATACTCTAGACTAGAGCTTTCTAGGGTGCGAAAGGGAAGGTGTGTGTGTTGTAGATCGTTAAACGGATACGCGAAGGGCGGCGCGCGCAGGATTTCTTCCTGGGTTAGATAAGACGATAGCCTCTCGGGGAGGGTGTATCTCGCGATAGTTGGTTAAGTAATATCTATTTTTCCCCCCCCCCCCCCCCCCCCCCGACACCTTTTGACAGCTGTGAAAGGAAGTGATTTGTGGTACTGTACTTGCTGTCGCCTGTCAGGAGCGTCTGTCAGTGGTGGCGACAACCTGCCGGCTAGCGAGTGAGTCTCTCAGGACGGGTAAATCTGAGGGGATGTCTGTAATGGAGCCTTTGATTCTCGAAGGCACAGAAAAAGCAACGGGGTTGATTCTCGATGGGGGTATGCTGAGGCGAAGGGAAACCCTCCAAAATGCCGCCTACCCGCTTCGGCGAAAAGCATATCTAACGACCCGTTTATGTATCTCGTACCGGTTTCTTCTTAAAACGATCTAACAATATTTGAATACAACGATATAATAAATAATTGAAACGATATGACAATATTTGAATATAATACATTCAAATATAATACTTATATTCAAATACATTTCAACGATATAACAAGTTTACCACCCGCCCTTCAAAACAAGGTGCTTTTTACACAAGCATTCGCCCCTTAATCGATATACGTAGAATAATAAAAGCAATAAAGTCGGTGGCCTTGCAAGGCTCAAAAATCTGATGCGAATTTTACTGGGAATTTGAATTAAGCTTTATCATTGAGGCGTTAATAAAATTATAAAAAGTTGGAGGGGAGGGCGTCATGTCCTAATATCCACGGTAGGTACGATGAATTTCCAAATTCATTATGGCCATTTCCCATTGTAAGAGTTACTAAGGGTGTAGATGAATGAAAACATAAATAAACGGGGCTTGCTTCCTACAAAATGGACTTTTGGGATTATTAGAAAATTATTTCTGTAATTTGTCGTTATATTAGCATTTCTGCACAATTTCTTTCGTTTATATTTCTGGGTATAATTTTTACTGCAAGGTATGAAGACGAGCTGCAGCAACACTCTACACAATCCCACTGTTCTTATAATTTTATCTTTCATTTTTTTGTAGTTTTTGTTTGAAACACTTGGTGGTATAGTTCATATAAGGTAGAGAGGTTAATTGGCCGAGCAAACATCTCTTGCTCCCCCATTGTCCTCTTCAGTAAATTTTCTTGATGGATTTATTGTTTCTCTTATTCTTTTATTTTTCTTATATGTACCCATTTCATGTATTCACAACTATGTATACACTTATACTTATTATCTTGTAAACAATTGGCAAATCAAATAAATAAAAATAAATAAAAATACATAAATAAATAAATAAAAAATAAATTTACATTCGAAATTTGATAGGCTACATGTTGCCAATATCATCATTGTTTTGTTGAAAGATTTTGTTGGATTAAAAAAAGATAGTGGTGGTCATCCAAATCAGATAAAGAAACATTTATTCATTTTCTGTTCTTTTTGAAAATGTCAGTTGCTGCACAGATTGATACCAGAATTAGATACTGTTTGTGTGATTTTTTTCTGTTTCTGAGCAAAGCTGATAAAATCAACATAAAAAAGATGCTGAAATAATTTATAATGGTTTTTCTTGGGATACTGGCTCTGATAGCATTTCTCATTTGAAGCACTTCAGATTACTAATAGTTAAAAAAACACAAAACTAGAATAGTTAATAAAAATGTGAAGTCATTGATTTAGGTTGAAATCCTGTAGTATTTAACTACTGTACATCATTAATTTATGAGATTAATATAAGAAAGGATTAAACAATTATTGCCAGTCTTAATTATTTGGGGGATAAAGCTTAGTATCAAATACTTTGATGCAATAATTCTATAGTATTTTTATATAGTATTTTTGCTATGAGTTTACAGCTAAAAAAACAGGGTTACAGTATCTGTATTTGTACAGGTTGTCAGTGACATCTAGTGGTTATAGCTTTTCTGTGTGGAAAATAATAAGCTGGGTATTAAAATGTTCTTGAAATCTAGTTTCATTTTTGATGACTTCATAGACAAGGAGACATGAAGTTTTCCTGGCAACAAAATGGAAGTAATATTCATTGCCTTTTTTCAGGAAAGTATTAGTGTCCTAATGTAGCCTACAAGTTTGTTACTTCCTGACAAAACTCCCATCCAAATCAGGCATTTCCTACTAAATTTGTTAATGAACTGTTCAGTGCTTGTTGCATTTTATATTTTGAAGTTTTTAAGAGCAGTTTGCTTTGGTGAAGAAGCTACAATACAGCTTGCATATTAAGAGCTATACTGCATCATTCCTTGTAATGATATCTTTATTTCAGAAAATGCAGGAGTTTTGAGTTAACCTTTGAAATTCTAAATAAAATTTCCTGATCTTGTATAGCAGTCAGTTAGGACTAGGCAAATGTTTTAGTTTAAGATTATGGAGGGAGGTTGCTTTTGGGGGTTTTTTCCTCCCTTTGTGGAAGTTAAATAGCTAGCAATTTAGTAAGCAATCTTTGTCTCATTTGCAAGACAAAAAAATCTGATTAGAGTATCAATATTAATTATCTGACCTATCACCTTGAATATGTTATGGACTTTCTATTACAGATATCCTTAATGTGGGCAGATTTCATGGTGTCCATGAAAAAGAATTATACCTTTATTTCACTAATGTACCATAACTGAAATTTAGTTTTTCGTTCAGTAATATTGGCAGCAGAGTAACTCTTGAGGCTTAGAGAATCATTTTTTTTGCTAAGGCTGTCACTGTCAAAAATTGTAATAACCTTAAACACAGAGTATTGTCTTGTTATTGATTTAATGGATTAATAAAGAACTATGTTGCATATCAATTATTTTTAATATACGAATACTTGAACATAATCAGTTTTTTATTTTATATCTATCTCTGTATATATATGTATGTGCGCATATATATATATATGTGTGTGTGTGTGTGTGCATGTGTATATATAAGTATGTATGTATATATATATATATATGTTTCAAGCTGTTGAATCCAGCTGTTATTGAACGGTGCAAGAGAGTTGGTTGGCTGTTAACTTTAACTTTAGCAGTGTGAGTCATACTCTAATGTGTTAGTGGAGAAAAGACTGAGCATATCTGGCATGGATACTTGGAAACGTACTCCACCCCCTGGAATACAACACATGTCCACATCTGAAATGCACATAGGTCCTTTTTTGGTAAAGTATTGTTAGTATGAATTTTCTTCCACTCTGCTTGGAACTCATCTCTTCCCTCCCTCCAGAGATTATTACCATCAACAGCTTTGTGGAAAGGGTCCCAGAAGGGAGAGGAAGGAAAGCAAACAACTACCTTTTAAATCTGCTTAGCTGTACTCTCTTCTCCACATTTCTATTATCCTCAATTGCCCTGTGGGAAACATCCTAGAAATTTAATTTCTTTTAAAATAATATTCATTGTACTTATAGTTACTTAAGTTGTTTGTGAACTGCTTTGGGAATATTGTTTTTAAAAATAGAATATAAAAATTATAGTACTGATAAAGTTTCTTTTGTCCATACCATACCAGTTTATTACATTATCACATGTTTGGGGGGGGGGCATTCAACAGGAAAGGAACTGCTTGAGAATATAATCCACTCAGGTCTTCCCGGTACAGTTCATGGGAAGTGAGAATTCTAGGAAAGCACTCTGTACAAGTACATCTTAAATGAGCAAATTCTATTTGGAATAAGCAGTCTTGCAGCGCTCAAGCTATGAAGGATTTCAAAGACTATAACTAGCACTCTGGAAACAAACCAGCAATAAAGAAAATCCTACAATATTGATATTACATGACAATCTACTTTGATAGGGTTAAATCTGTTTCTTCCAGATTCTTACAGACTCATGACAAAACCTTCTGACAATCTTGACAGCCTAGAACTGAGATAATACCAAACCCCATTTGTTGGGTTATCTCCCCCATTTAACATGTAGGTGTTAAATGTGAAAGGGATTGAATCTTGTGGCATCTCATGTACTGGTAGTCTTACAACCATTCGTTTAGTGACCTTTCAAAGGACACTAAACACTGAACGACACTGAAAGAAGTGACTTATGACCATTTTTCACATTTGCCATTGTTGCAGCATCTTCATGGCCACATGATCAAAATTTGGACACTTGGCAGCTGGCATGTAGTTAGGCTTGTTGCAGTGTCCCAGGGTCATTTGTTCACATTTTATAACCTAGCAAAGTCAACAGGAAAGCCAGATTCACTTACTAATTTAATAACTGCAGTGAGTCAATTAACAACTTTGGGAAGAAAGGTTGTAAAATGGGGCAAAAATCACTTAACTACTGTCTTGCTTAGCAATGGGAATTTTGAGGTTAATTATAAGTGAAGGACTACCTGTACTCATTGGAAGTATCCACTCAGGAAGAAATTGAACTGCCATGGAACAATCCCTCTAATTTTTGTTCTGTGTCCAGAAACACCAAGACTTCATTATAATAGGGTAGACTACCCCTTCTTCCAGATCTCTTTGTAATTACTGGCATACAAAAAGAAAGGTTATTGAGTAGATGATAGTTGTCCAATATAACTTGGTCCTTGATCAGGCCCGTAAGGATGCCACACTCAGTGTCCTTTTAGAAATATTAGCATCTCTTTCTCCCCAATTGATGCATTCACAATGACCCTTGGTATCTAATTTTTGGCCTTAATTACACTAAGTATAAACGAGAATTGTTTTTGACAAGCTTCTAAGATTATATTACAACATCCAGCTAGCAATAAAAATATTTCCAAAATAAATGGTTCTTCCTTTACTGAATCCAGCAAACTTGAAGGGCTTTACAACAATCTTAAGAGCCTTGTTTTTCTTTTATTAGATGAGGATTGGATTCTGAATTCTGGACTTAAATCATGGCTAGAGATCCTTGAAATACCTCCTATCTACAGAACAAGTTGTTGAGCCATTATTACAGCATAGACAGTAGATAGATACATAAATCATGAGCTTATAGAATGTTATGATGTAGTACAGCATTTTGGTCAAGCTTGCCTCAACTTGAATTAGCCCTATAGGCAGCTTTCCAATGGGTGATATTTTGTTCTCTGCGAAGCCTTCTGGAGAAGTTCAGGGAGGGTCCTCAGGACAGATTCCCAAACATTCACTATTTATGACTGGCAACCCAGCAGTGTTTCCTACAGATTTGGACCTTTTTTTTCTGATCTTTTTGAATGAAGGAACAGTCAGGTAGGCTGTTCTCTCAGACTGAAATCAATGTGCCATCCTGGTCAACTGTAACAATTTTATGCAGAAATTTAGAACTGCCTGTGACAATTCCATTCAACAAATTGAGTTACTTTCACAATTTTATTCGAGAACCAGCAGCCTTTCAGGATTTGAAATGTGTCTTGTCTCAAACTACTCTATTATCTTGATCCCAGCTGCCTTATTGTGGAAACTGATAGTTCAAACTGTTTTGATTGCTGATTTTTTTCAAAGGTTAAGGATCTGTTGCCTTGTACATCTTATTCTAGACTCCTCCCAGCTGGGTGGGATTATGATGTTTGAGATAGACTACCTATCAATAAAAGCCATGTTCCAACAATGGAGGTATTTCTTAAAAGGAGTGGTTCATCCAATGTAGGAATCCTCAGAATTTGAAATACCTGCAGAAGGGTCATACCCTTACTTAGCATCATGTTGGGTAGGTGCAATTTTTCTCTGGTTTTAACTTCTACATTATTTATATTTCTAACTTGCAGAATATTCTGGTAATCTATGATGAATGTTCTTTCTGTCACAATCTTGAAATCAGACAATTCTGCTACTCTTAAAATGACGCTCCCAAGATGTCTCTTAAAACAACAGTACCCATATATCAGAGTTCAGATGGGTGATTTCCAAGAGAATCTCACAATTTGATTTCAGCTTCGAATCTACTGTTTGCTGATTTCCATTCTTGTAATGCTGATACATATGCGCATCCATACCTCTAGCAATATCCTCCCTTTCACAGCTCATGATTTTGCCCTTTTGCTTCTTGAGGAAATAAGTTTATGTGGTTTTTCCCATATCTTGTCTCCTTTTATTTTCTTTACAACCATTTGTAGTTCACTATTGGGTTGCTCTCACAAACTACAGCCCATTCTCCAACTAACAGCTCCCACTTCCTAGTTTCATTTTTTCCTGTTGAATAACTTCTCAGTGCTACCTCCCTACTTTCAGAAACTACTTTCCCGGTGAGAGGTGCTTGCAGATAGCTAATGATCTTGATGACATGCAAGCATAGCTGCTGTCTCACAAAGCACATCATTCTAGAGCATACCTGATTGTCCCTATTGTCCCTCTGGCAATTATTATTGCTACTCATGCATTTTTAAATAAATTGAATTAAGGGTTGTATATTCAATGTAGGAGAACAAATATTCTAAGTTAAAAATTTACAATTACAATTTACAATGTGTATTTTCTGAAATCTTAAACCTTTCACCCTCAGTTCTATAAAGTATTTCTTACTACTAGTAGAAGCAACAGTTTTATTTTAAATATAAAGAAATGGTTTCCTGTAGCACATCTTTTTACAATATATATAGAAAACAAGCCTATATTTGTAATTAACTATCCACACAATACTAAATGGCTACATAATTCCACAATTAAGGTTTTAAAAAAATATTTTCATATGAAGTTAGTCAGTAAACAGTTAAATGTACAAAGATAGAACACGACAGAGTTTTGGCAGTAGCTAGCTTGGGAAATGACGTCTTATAACATTTGCTGTTCTAGAAAGAGCAGAGATACATAGTGTAATTGGGAGTGCTCTGGGTGGTAGTGTTTTTACCAGTTCAATCTTTGTATAAAGTGATCAAGGACAAAGAGAAGGTGGCAACAGTCTTCTGGCTGCTTAATAGAACTACAGTTCTTGTTAATTTTTTTTAGGAACATTGCATAGCTGAGACACAGAACTCATAACAAAAGAAAGCATACTTTTTAAACATTGAAATGGGGAAGGATTACTATTCTGTTCTTGGAATTGAAAAAGGAGCATCTGATGAAGATCTCAAGAAAGCATACAGAAAACAAGCCCTTAAATGGCATCCAGATAAGAATAAATCTCCCCATGCAGAAGAAAAATTCAAAGAGATTGCAGAAGCCTATGAGGTATTGAGTGATCCCAAAAAAAGAGAAATTTATGATCAGTTTGGAGAAGAAGGTAATATAATTTCTGTAGTTTCCTTTTAGCTATTAATAGAAATAACATGCTAAATATAATTAATTCAAATCAAGAAGGAATGAGCATTTGGCTGTAAGAACTTAATCTGAGAATTTAGCTAAATTGCATTTCAGTACCTATACACTCATTAAATTGGCAAGTCCTGCTTATGAAATTTTATTTTCTATTATGCAGGGCAGCATTCTTAATTTTGGTTTGCAAGAACTTCAGGAATATTAAGTTGCTTTTGGCTGTGATAGTTGCTGAATATTTTTATTTTGTCCTATTTTTACAGTAACAAAAATTAAAATGTATACATTATTTTTGTTAAAAAGATTGCAATAGAATGATGGTATTTCTGAACTAGAGTCCAGGTGTCCAGACTAGGCTTACATTGGAATCTTGTCTAAAAAGGAAAGAATTTGCCCAATGTCACGAAAATACCAGGACAAGTTTTCAACTTACTTTCTAGCTATTAATGTATCAAGGAAATAAGACCTAGTTTTTAGAATTCAGCTACTGCCTTTTTCTTTCAAAATCTAATTTAAGATTTAGAAAAAGCTTTTGTTCTGCTAATGAAGTTGTTATTTACATTATAATCCTATGTTCCCTCAATGCGATAGAAATATTCATATATTGAATATGATGGGCTGAAAATATAAGAGTTAAAATGCATCAGTATTTAATAATTATCTTGTAAGAAATTCATGTTTTTCATAAATGCATATGTCTGTGTAAAAATTCAAATTAAGTAGTAATTTATAATTTAAGTATTGCCTCTCTGTATTCATGGGAAATTTATAAGACCTTGATATGCTGATAGAATCTTATTTTTAAATCATGAGTCAATGTATAGCATTATGGACAATATCTAATGAATTGATTTAGTCATAGTTCGAGATTGTTGTTCAGATCATGGATAGACTTTTAATTAGACATGAGATTGATACGTTTTGAGCACAATCAACCCATTATCTATTTTGGGAAGCATTCTGCCAAATACATGGTATAGTTTATCAAACCTGACATCCTTTACTTCTACATCTTTAGTTGCTAAGGCTTAGTAAATAAACACTCAATTTACAAACAGTGCATATAATAAGCAGGAAGAGTGCCAATAATGCATACTTAAGCCATACTTCAGAATACATATTTTAAACCATTTTGACATATTGTTTGCTGCACTATTCAAACATGGTAAAACCAGCAGAAAAATAGCTGTTATTATATTAACCGTAATGTACAATAATATACAGAGGCAGCCAAACTATCTTTTATCGAAATTGATCTCATCATAGGTTAATAAAAAGAGGAAAAAAAGGAGCATGTGATCAACATATCAGCTGCTGAAATGCTGTAGTGATCATGTGTAGCTTATGCCGGAGTAGTTTGCAAGGCAGTAAACTCACTGCTTCAAGAAATACTTTTACCCAAAATTTGTATCAGAGATTATTAATTTATGTAGTCCTTGATTTACAACCACAATTGAGCTCAAACTTTCCATTGTTAAATGTCCCACTTAATGACCTTTTTGCCACAGTTGTTAAGCAAACCTCTTCAGTTGCTGAGTGAATCATGTGGTTGTTAGGCAAACCTGGCTTTCTCCATTGACTTTGCTTATCAAGTTAGTTGGGAAGGTTAAAAATGGTGACAGACCATTTTAGGAGAGTGCAACCCTCATAAATACATGTCAGTTGTCAATGCCCAAATTTTGATCACATGGCTGTAGGGATGCTGCAGTGGTCATAATTGTGAAAACTCGTCACTTTTTTCAGTGCCATTGTAACTTTGAATGGTCACTAAACAAATGGCTGTAAGTCGAGGACAACATATTGAATTTTCTATCTCTTCAAAATTAAAGTTTTATGATTCTGACACTAGAACATGAGGTATAAATATTGGAATAAAATATTTAGAATATTTATAACCTTGTTTTTATAAATAAACACTTATTCAAAAATATGGCTGAAACTAGTCTTCGAAATATCAATTTTATAGTAAAGAACATTTCTTAATATATTTTGAACTTTTTAGCATTGGGATGGATCCAGATTTAGTCATATTTAGATTAGACCCATGAAGATTAGGCTTAAATCAATTGGACTTAAATTAAGTACTCTTTATTTCATGTTCCTGTTCTAAATAAACATAAAATAAGATTGGTAATTTGAATTCATTTATAATTTAGATAGCCCTATGTGTTCATAGTAGTTCTGTTAAGTTTTACAGTGTAAGCTGGGTTCACGCATGATGATATGTTTTCATTTATTTTAATAATGATATGTAAACAAAGCCATAATGGTGTTCATCACATAGGATACTGAGTAAGAAGCCATGATTTATATATTTGATTTTATATCATGGTAAAGTACAATCCAACAAAAGAAATAATAGATTAACACAATGTGTGAACCTTGATGTTCTGAAAGTCTAATTTCATAACCAAAGTGAATGGTATATAGGACATTCACCATTGTAAATTTTAAAAATTCTCTAAATTATATCAGGAAAATTGATGGTTTAATAAGTTGCTTCAATATTAAAAGAAAAATATTTAAGAGACTTTACACACATATTATATGTTAAATGCCTATTTCCCCCCAGAGATTGGTAAAATACATTTTCTGATCTGCTGTCTAATCTCACATACGTGTAATTTTTAAATTCTACAGAATCCAAATTCTCTGAATATGGAAATGTTTGGATTTCAGTAAATAATTTGTAAAAGAAAAAGAATATAATGACTGCTCAGTAATGTTGTCCCAAAGAAGTAGGCACTACCATCTTGAATGACAATAGGAATATGGTGCCAATGAAAGGCAGTGTTCCTTCAAGTGCCCTCTTAGTATACATCAGAGTTCATATTACAGTATGTCTGTGTCTAAAAGAACATTTAAAAATATCAAGCAAACATTAATAGTAATTATCCACTAGTTAAAAAAAGAAGATTTTGGAAGCTCGTAAGCTTTCTGGTAAATTAATATTTTGTGATCGTTCATACCTAGTATGGCAACTATTGGTTTGAAATATACAGCTCAGGTAACTTATTAAGAATGCTTTAAAAAAAAGATTGCAGAGTTAACATGCCTTTTATCCAAACCATCTATTTAAGTGATTTAAAGATATAGCAAAAGATGAGAAATTGGTTAAAATTAGGAAGGATGTGTAGGAGAAATTAATCACAGAATGTAGGTGGGTGTCATAATGTAGGAAGATAAGCAAGCTTAAAATAATTGAAGTTACTGTTAAGTAACATAACTTTGTAGTAGCATAGCTTTGTAAAATCTCATTATAAAACTCACTGGGTTTGCAATACATAAATATTTTGTGGACTCCTTTCCACAATAATTTTATTTCTAAAATTCAGTTGGATTTATTTCCAATAAGTAGGGATAACAGTAAATCTGTTTTATATATTTGATGAGCAGCCCAATCCTATTTATTTTTTCAGCGATTTAATTTCTTTGTGGATTAAACAAAGATTCAGAATTCCTTAAGACATTACAACTTAGTGAAAGAATAGCTATGACCAGACGTGGGATTCTACCGATTCGGTACCTCTGAAGATCAGCTGAGAGAGAACCAGCTTGCTCCTACAATCTTCTGTTCTTCTGTTTGGCTCACCCGCCCACCCAGGCTCTAGGCCAGGGGTGTCCAACCTTGGCAACTTTAAGACTTGTGGACTTCAACTCCCAGAATTCCTCAGCCAGCTTTGCTGGCTGAGG